CTGCTAGGTATGCAACCCTGCCTTTTATTATCTACAAAGGACGCGTCTATATCTCTGCCTAGTATAAGGAGACAGATATACCCTATAATTAGAAGCTCTTAGTCTCTAAGAATAGTTAGACAAATAATATACTTAGCCTTAAGTAGTTAAAGCACTTTAACACACATATAAAGATATATTAGGTAGGAGTGTATAGGTTACTTATCTTAGACAGCTATAAGAGCTATCTTAACTAGGAGTTTAAGGACTATTACCTAGAGAACTAAATCCTTACTCTCTGTATACTACCTTACTTATTGCACATCCTCTAGCTACTTAATATAGTCTATTTCTAGCTATTAAAGTATAAGTACTCCTAATATATTTAAGACATAGCACGCTAATATACCTTCTATATTAATAAGGAAGGCTTCCTACTAGCCTTTAGGGATGTGTTCCTTAATATATTTATAAAGGTTAACTACTAAAAGGTCTTTAAGGTATTAGGACTTATTCCTACTAATACATAGGTAGTGTTAGATCGCCTTAAAGTGTAGCTGCTTACCCTACTAGCAGTACCTCTACCTAAAACGCTGTAGTAATCTAAGAAACTAAGCAATATACACAAGTTTAGGTCTTAATCTAAGCTTATAAGTAACTCCTTCTAATAATTACTAAGTGCAGCTTAAGAGGGGTTCCTAAAGCTTATAAAAGGGGCTAAAGAGATACTGCACAAAAACATCCTTATTAAGGCCCACATGCGAGAGCTTAAAGAGTAATTAGCAGTAATACCTAAGAGAAAATCGCGTAAGAGAAAGCAGATTCAGCATAGTGGCACACTTAAGTATGGCCCAGCAGCATCGCGGGTAGCTGCTGAGGCGTGTGTAGCAGCTCAGCTATCTAAGAAGACTTAGGGTGGAGGTGGTCAACTAGGAGCTTAGTTAACTATTTAGCGCTGTAGGAACTGCAGCAAAACTAGACATAACGCACAAACGTGCTAGGAGGGTGCAGAAACATCTTCTAAATCTAATGCAAGCACGCAGTATACTAGGTCACTGTTTAATAGCAAGTAGTTGTAGTTGCAGTAACTTGTGTTAGTCGTGCCAAGAGAAAATGGCTGGTTCGGTGATATGGCCGGCTCGGTGATAATCTACGTTAGTAGTAATAACTAAGAGAAAATTGCGTAAGAGAAAGCAGATTCAGCATAGTGGCACACTTATGTATAGCCTAGCAGCATCGCGGGTAGCTGCTGAGGCGTGTGTAGCAGCTTAGCCATCTAAGAAGACTTAGGGTAGAGGTGGTTAACTAGGAGCTTAGTCAACTATTCAGCGCTGTAGGAACTACAGCAAAACTAGACATAACACACAAACGTGCTAGGAGGGTATAGAAAAATCTTCTAAATCTAATGCAGGCATATAGTATACTAGGTTACTATTTAATAGTAAGTAGTTGTAGTTGTAGTAACTTGTGTTAGTTGTGCTAAGAGAAAATGGCTAGTTTAGTGATATGGCCGGCTTGGTGATAATCTACGTTAGTGTTTTATTATCTTCTTCTAATTTATACTAGATTAAAAGTGTCTGCTATCTTAAAAGCTTGTAGCCTAGATAGGCGCAACCCTGTTTACAGCTATTAGGAAGTCCTTTGTTATTATATTTAATTATAATAATTTAGCAACTTTGTACGTCTCTGCTTCTATAGCTGCCTAGTTATACTTAGCTAGCTAGGTATCCTATTATAATGTACTTTTTAATAGCTTAAGTGCTAAGAGGTATCTATCTTAGGCTTATTCTTGTTTAATTTATTTTTAAACCCTAATAGTAAGTTATAGGTCTATAATCTACTATTATAGTAGTTTCTTAGGAAGACAGTATATACATAGTAGATATAGTAATATAGTTAACTAGATAAATATAATAATATACTAAAGGATTACTTCCTCCTTCTTATATTTATATTAATTATTCTTATATTATTTAAGGAGTGCTTTATAGTACTTAAGGTCTTCCTTAAATGCCTTCTAGCCTATTATTAATAGCTTAGTTAGCCTTAATAGTATGTTAGTGTTTATAGCTAGTACATAGTAAGTAATAGTTAGAGCCCTTAGCAAGAGTGGCTTTAATAGTAGTAGTATAGTTATCTTTAGGTTGATCTTGTCCTAGACATTGCGCGACAGGCATCTCGCATGTAGCTGAGCAAGCTAGCCAGTCTAGTTAGCTTGGTCCCTAAGGACTGTTGTTAGGTCGCGGTATATTAGTTGTGCTATTTTAGTTACAGTAGTTTAGTTGTGGTAGTAAGGTTGCAGTAGTTTAGTTGCAGCAGTAAGACTCTTAATTGTTAGATGCTTGTACTATTAGCCAGAGTATGTGCTTAACAAGATCTAAGGTGGTATGATGATTTATTGATGATCGTGGCGATGGTGTTTCTGTCTGCGTTGTGCTGGTTGCTACAGGATTGAAGTGGGGGGGAATTAGCGCTGTTCGCCGCCGCCTGTGTGCGGGCCAATCAGGAGTTGCCAGGTCTCGCTTAATCGACCTGGCAGCTGCTGATTGGCTGCGCGACAGGTTCTCTGCTCGATTGCGCAGATCCGACCTCTTTCCGCTCGCTCTTATCTGACAAGTAGCTTAATAGATTACACATATATTACTGTATCTTTAAGTATATTATGCATAAGGTTCTCTATAAGGTCCTTAATTCTCCTATTAAATACTATAACCTAAACCCCCAGCTGTAACGGTCTAGACTCTAAAGCTAAAGAAGAGCTAGAGCTAGCCGATTACATTAGCTTAGCTGGCTTGGCTTAAGCTAGATATATATTATCTACGCAGTTAACTAGACGTCTAGTTAACTTGTGCATGCTTTTTAGCAAAAGTTGTTAGGAAGTAGATATCCTTTATTGGCCTTTGGCCAGACTACTACACCAGCACCCAGGCCAACCCAGCACCTAGGCCATTTCTTGCCAAGACCACAACTATTAATATTAACACGTAATGCCTTGCTAACAAGATGTGTAATTATCTAAATAAGATAGTAGAATTAATCTTGCCCTTTCTACTTTCTAATTATATAAATTTAAAAGCCTCTAAAGTGCTGCTTAGGCATTTAATGTACTGTGTACAACCTTAAGTGCTAGGTATAGAGGCAGACTCTAGACACAACGCACAATATAAGCTTACGCGCACTAAAGAGCAAATAATTATATAATATACTCTTGACCTTAATTCGCAAGGATTCGCGCCCTAGCTGTGCGAGGTAGCAGATATAGCTGACAAACTGTTAGGTGTACGTGGTGGGCAGCCTGTTGGCAAGCACTAGGCTGAGCGCTTCGAAACGCGTTCAGTTAAGCTCAAGATAGCCTTTAATTAAGCTAAAGATAGGCAGAGGATACTGCAGGAGGAACTAGAGACAATTAGCGCGTGATTTAAGCTAGTAGAGGACACAAAAGCTAAATACAGCGTACACAACTACAATATGCACAACTTTAATAAGACTAGCTTCTAGATAGGTGTTATTAGCTTAATAAAGGTTGTTACAGGCATAGAGAGACATAATTAACCTTAGTTTGTTTAGCTAGGTAATTGTAAGTGGGTAATAGTTATCTAGAGCGTCTGCGCTGCTAGATCTTGTACCCTGCCTTTTATTATCTACAAAGGACGCGTTCACATCTCTACCTAGTACAAGGAGGCAGATATACCACACGATTAGAAGCTCTCTGTCTCTGAGAGCAGCTGGACAAACAACGCGCTCAGCCTTGAGTGGCTGAAGCACTTCGACGCGCATACAAAGGCGAGCTAGGTGGGGGCGTACAGGCTGCTTATTTTAGACAGCTATAAGAGCTACCTTAACTAGGATTTTAAGGACTACTACCTTGAAAACCTAATCCTTACCTTCTATATGCTACCTAACTTATTGCACATCCTCTAGCTACTTAATATAGTCTACTTCTTACTATTAAAGCGCAAGTACTCTTAGCATATACAAGACTTAGCACGCAAGCACGTCTTCTATATTAATATAGAAGGCTTTCTCCCTGCCTTTAAGGACGCGTTTTTTAATATATTTATAGCAGAGAACTGTTGCAAGGCCTTTAAGGCAGCAGGGCTAGTCCCTCTTAACACGCAGGTTGTGTTAGATCACCTTAAAGTGCACCTGCGTACCCTACTAGAACCCCTCCTCCTAGAGACGCTGTGGCAGTCAAAGACTCTAAGCAATGCCTACAAGTTTAGATCTTAGTTAAAGCTTGTATGCAAGTCTTTTACTTAGTTGCCTATTACTGTGCAAGCAGGATTCTTTTAGCTTGTTAGAGGCAGCAAGCTTATGCTGCATCAGAACGCGCTTTAAGCAGCCTAGATTACTAAGCTTAAAGAGTAATTAGTAGTAATAACTAAGCAGAAATTGCGCAAAAGGAAGCAGATCTAGCAAGGTAGTACTATAGAGTATAGTGAGGCAGCAGCTAAGGTGGCTGCAGAGGCCTCTGTAGCCGCTAAGCGGTCAAAGAAGGCTTGTGGTAGTGGTAATTAAGAACAAGCTTAACTAGCTCTACAGCGCTGTAGAAACTGTAGAGGGACTAGACACAACACGCAAACGTGTAAAAATGATATAGAGGCATATTCTAAATTAGATACAAGCACAGTGTACGCAGGCTCTATGTTAAATAGCGATGAAATTGAAGAGTTGTAACGTGAGTTGGTACTGCCAAGCTTTTTTGGCCCAGGTGCTGGGTTGGCCCGGGTGCTGGGGGTTTACGTTATTATTTACATAACCCTACCTTACCTCTATTTAGCTATACGCTTCCTATTTAGACAAAGCTAGTCTAGATTTGTCTAGGTCCTTCTTAACTGGGAAGAAAGTAGTCTAGTCCTTCCCCTACTTTCTTTACAGTACCTACATCGGGAAAAGTTTTTCGAAATCCGGCCTAGACCGGCCGTTGCTGACAGTCGTGGCATGGTCGTGCAATGGCCGTTCAACGGCCCCAACAGCCCCAATTTGCGCCCAACAGCCCCAATTTCGCGCCAACGTTGCTAACAGCCAAAACGCTAAGTGCCTATATTTAACAAACTTAAAACAATGTTGCAATATTATTGCATAGCTACCCTTAGTGCTAGCACTAGCATTAAATATTTAAAAATTGCAAAATTTCATGTACAGATAGAGCAAAATTGTAGCTTTAAAATAAGCAGAAATTTATTATTGTAGGCCTACTACAACGTGAGTTATAGAGCGTTAAAGGTTTGTTTGTTGAAGGTTTGTGTTTTGAAGTTGCGACAGCACACCATAGCAGCTGCAGCTGCGCCCGCACACAACGTAGCAGCTGCAACAGCATACAGCATAGCACCTGCTGACCAACACACACACACACACACACACACAGCAGCAGCGCATCAGGAGCTTGCAGAACAGGCAGGCCTAGGCGTAAAATTCTTGGTTTACCTACTATTCTTGAATAATATTCTTATATTTTCTAACATTCAGGCTGCTAGAGCCCTAGCAAAAAATCTTAACTTAGTGTCTTAGCAAGGAACATTAAGCTTAAAACCTTCTAAGCTTAATAACTATTCTATTACTAGGCCTATAATGTTATTTAATAGCTTATTTTAAAGAGGAGACTTAACGTAGAATATCACCAAGCCGGCCATATCACCAAACCAGCGATTTTCTCTTAGCACGACTAACACAAGTTACTACAACTACAACTACTTGCTATTAAATAGTAACCTAGTATACTGTGTGCTTGCATTAGATTTAGAAGATGTTTCTACACCCTCCTAGCACGTTTGTGCGTTGTGTCTAGTCTTGCTGCAGTTCCTACAGCGCCAAACAGTTGACTAAGCTCCTAGTTAACCACCTCTACCCTAAGTCTTCTTAGATAGCTAAGCTGCTACACACGCCTCAGCAGCTACCCGCAATGCTGCTAGGCCATACTCAAGTGTGCCACTATGCTGAATCTGCTTTCTCTTACGCGATTTTCTCTTAGTTATTACTACTAATTGCTCTTTAAGCTCTTGCACGTAGGCCTTAATAAGGACGTTTTTGTGCAGTATCTCTTTAGCCCCTTTTACAAGCTTTAAGAACCCCTCTTACGCTACACTTAGTAATTATTAGAAGGAGTTGCTTATAAGCTTAGATTAAAACCTAAACTTGTGTATATTGCTTAGCGTCTTAGGTTGCTACAGTGTTTTAGGTAGAGGTACTGCTAATAGGGTATGCAGCTGCACTTTAAGGCAATCTAACACTACCTATGCGTTAGTAGGAATAAGCCCTAATACCTTAAAGGCCTTTTAGCAGTTAACCTTTATAAATATATTAAGGAACACGTCCCTAAAGGCTAGTAGGAAGCCTTCCTTATTAATATAGAAGATGTGTTAGCATACTAAGTCTTAAATATATTAGGAGTACTTACACTTTAATAGCAAGAAATAGACTATATTAAGTAGCTAGAGGATATGTAATAAGTGTGGTAGTATATAGAGAGTAAGGATTTAGTTCTCTAGGTAATAGTCCTTAAACTCCTAGTTAAGATAGCTCTTATAGCTGTCTAAGATAAGTAACCTGTATACTCCTACCTAACACGTCTTTATATGTGTGTTAAAGTGCTTTAACTACTTAAGTCTAAGCGTGTTGTTTATCTAACTATTCTTAGAGACTAAGAGCTTCTAATTGTAGGGTATATCTGTCTTCTTATACTAGGCAGAGATGTGGATGCGTCCTTTGTAGATAATGAAAGGTGGGGTTGCATACCTAGCGGCGCAGATGCTCTAGATAACAGTAATTTACTCGCAATCACCTAGCTGAACAAGCTCTAGCTAAGCACGTCTCTCTAAGCCTGTTACAACCTTTAAAGACAAAGCAACACCTATCTAGAACCTAGTTTTATTAAAGTTATGCACGTTATTATTACAAACACTATACTTAACTTAAGTATCCTCTACTAGCTTAAACTATGCGCTAATTATCTTAGGATCTTCCTGTAGTATCCTCTGTCTATCCTTAGCTTAATTAAAGGCTATTTTAAGCTTGTCTAAACGTGTTACAAGCCTGCTAGCCTATAGTTTGCTAACAGGCTCTTTACTACGTACACTAAGTATCTTATTAGCTATATCTGCCACCTTACATAGCTAGGGCGCAAATCCTTGTAAATTAAGGTTAAGTATATACTAGACAATTGTCTACTCCTCTAGTATAGTAAGTTTCTAGTAATTAGCGCGTATGTCTAGTTAAAACATAATATTACAAAGGTAATTAGAGACCTGCTAATAAGGTACGTTTAACGCTCTAGCAGCCCTGTAGATACTGCAAAATTGGCCAGCATAGAAGGCCTAGATAGTAAGGATAACTCTGCCTTCTCTAGTAGTATTCTAAAGTTGTTGTTGTTAAGGCATGTTGTGTTAGGGTAAAAGGTGGTCGTGCCAAGAGAAAGTGGCTGGTTTGGTGATATGGCCGGCTCAGTGATAATCTATGTTAGTAGTATATTAATATAATAAAAGTATAGTTTATTAAGCAGAGCTACTATTGTAGCAGGATTAGGAGTTATTGTGGCCATTGCAGCTGTTAGGACTGTTAGAGCTGTTAGCTTAAAATTAGCTAGACATTGAATGCACATTGAATGACTGTTGTAGGCCTATAAGTCCTACTATTGCCCACAGTACAATGCCATAATATCCTAATTTCAACAATAGAAAAACTTTTCCCAATGTAGTTAGTTATTACTAGTAACGTACCTCACGGGCGAGTGGCCAGCCCAGGCGAGTGACTGGATTTTGCCAAGACCACACTAAACTTCAACTTCTCTTGCATATTACAGCAAGTTACTAAAAGTTACTATAACTTACAGTATACAGCACTAATCTATAGTATCTTTTGTATCTTTTATGCATATTCACGTGTTGTGCTCTGCCCTACTACACCTGCTACAGCGTTGTAAAGACTAAGTGCTAGGTTTAACACACCTCTTCTTGCTTGCCTTCTTCCTATTACTACAGGCTTTAAACTCCTTTAGGGTAGTTAAGCACACTCCTTTACTAATAGTAAGAGTCCCCTCCCTCTAGATCTGTTTCCTCTTGTGTAATTTACAGCGTGTAGTGGCCTTATTAGCAGCTTAAAGCTCTGCGACCTAGTTGCGCATTAAAACTAGTAAATACGCTATTATCTCTGCGCCCTTAGTAAGCTAATTAAGAGTATTAACTATAAAAGTTAGAGAGCTATTGCTGTATTGTTAAATCCTCTCTTAAATAAGCTTTAATTGCAACCTAAATTCTAGGGTGTTCTGTAGGGTTTGAGAGTGCTATATACTCTTATCTTCAGTAGGTAGTAGTAGAGTACATAGGCGCACTTGAAGCTTTAATATTACAGCCTCTAGATTAAAGGGGACTAATCTAGCACCTCTAAATTCTCCCTAGATATTGCTCCTAGTAATAGAGGCATTAGAAGCTCCTTTAAGGCACAGTAAAAACTTAAATTTTGCAATTTAAGTAATCTTATTACACATTAGCAGCTTAGCTTAGCAACTATAGGCCTTCTCTATTAGGGTAAAACAACCTATGTTAAGTAGCTGCAACAGGTGTGATAAGTATAGAGGCATACACAAGGTAACAATCTTGTGTTCTTTACAGTACTAGTAGAACTTAACTAAATTATAGCTCTTATAGCTGTCTAGAATAAGTAGCTAATAGCTACTAACAGTGCGCTCCTTTGTGTGCTTATTAAAGTGCTTTAGCTAACGTGTTCTATCAGTAAGCTGCGCATATCAGTATCCTGCGCACCCCACCAAAACGCGCTCAACTCAGCGTGCAATTGCTCCACAACCACATGGTCAAGTTAAGTGAGGTTTTGAAGCAAGATAGATTAGATAGCTCTACATTGAGTCCTATTGTGGCCTTGCACGTGGCATTTGCTACACGTTGGTGGTGCTCGCTGACGTCGCGGGGCAGCATCAGCCTAGACCTCCTCTTCAACCACATTGTCAGCCTGTAAGACTGGTAATTGAGCTTGCTTAACCTGTGGAGCTCCTCCCTGTGCTATATATTGTCTACGCCTTTAACGCTTACGTTGCTGGCGTTAGTTTAAAGCACGTAGCTTTGTATTCTCTTAAGCTAGGATTGTTGCTAATTGCATTGCGAGTTGACAGCCTTTCACAAGCTGAGAGATAGCTTGACTAGTTAGGCTTTGTGATTAACGCTTAAGGAGATCTTGAACAAGGCGAGCTTGCTGCTGAAGCTGGTCAACTGTACGTGGTGTCTCTGCTGTCTATGGCGCTCTATCTGCTGCTGTTGTCCCTGGTGGTGATGGTGTCCTAACTACAGTAAGGCACGTTAGGACACGCTCTGGATTGAATGGGATAAGCCCTGTAGCTTGAAACCTAGCCTTGATATTGCTCTCTGATAGAGCAGTTGGTCTAATCCTCAGGTACATCTATAGGAAGTTAAGCTTGTCAACATCGAAGATGCTCTGGCGGGCAAGCTCAGACACCTTATGTCCGTACAGCACCTTAAGAGGAGAGTAGCAGCCAATGTCAAGTGGCTGGAGGAGGTGTGAGGTGTGAGGAGGCATACAGAGAGTGATGATTAGGTTGTCTGCACAGTACTGATCAAACTCAGGTGTAGCATAGCTGCTGTGACTATCAAGGATAAGTAGCCGACAAGCACCTGATGAGCAAGTCTGTGTGTGCCTGTTGAAGTGCTTTACCCAGTCAAGGCCTAGCTTATCTATTGTCCAGCTGTTGTCACTAACAGCAACAGTCTAGTCAGGTGGGAGGTCTTGATACCAGCTGGCCTGGTGGAGCTTCCCTGCTAGTATTAAGAAGGGTGGGATAGACTAACCTAACGCGTTAACACACTTAATTGTTATTACCTACTTGCAATTGCCTAGCTAAATAATAGTAGCGCAACTAACTGTGTTAGAGCTAGTAACTACCTTTAACATTAAAGCTACCACTATTATAAACCTAATCTTATTAAAGTTGTAGACGTCCTCATCAGGTATCCTATATGTGAGGCGTGTCTCCTCTACTAGCCTGAACCACGCGCTAATCCTGACAGGATCTTCACAGCGTGCCCTCTGAGAGTGGAATTTCCTATTCTATTTTGTCTAAAGCTCTGGCTAACAGTTAATAAAGCGTGACACCCAGCACTTGCTGATAGGTGGGGGAGGAGGATCTTGGCCGCAGCCAGCGAGTAGCGCGTCTGCCATACGTCGTACGTCAATAATCTGGGGTAGAAACCCACAACAGTCAAGGTCTAAGATCTACTAAATAAGGGACTACTCTTTAATAGGGCTAACCTTTTAGTTAACTAATGTTGTCTTGTGTTTAGGATAGATACCCTTAAGACGCGTCTGCAGTGTTAATTCTAGAACATTGTAGGCTGCAGCAAGGCAATGTTTAGATTAATAAGGATTATTTTAAAAAGAAGCAATAGTAAGGCTTAACCTGCCTTCTTTTAAACTTTGTACAGGTAGTTAATGTGGTGTTATAGTTGATGAGATAAGACGCGTTGAGCGCGTTTTGGCGGGGTGCGCAGGATACTGATATGCGCAGCTTACTGATAGAACACGTTACTTAATACTAAGCTTATTATTAGTCTAGCTATTCTTAGAGACAGTAATAACCTAGTTGTAAGGTAAAGACAGCTCCTTATACTAGGTAGAGAGGTAGTGCTTACCTTAGAAGATAATAAAGGGTAGGATATCCTAACGTGTTAATGCCCTAGATAATGCTAGTGCACTCTTAGTTGCCCTGCTATACTGTTTTTAGTCTTCTATAACGCTCTAAGCCTTTAACAATAGCTCCTATTAATATAACACCTATTAATATAACACCTATTATAAACCTATACTTATTAAAATTATAGGTGTCTTTATCTAGGATACTATACTTAGCTTTAGTATTCTCTACTAGGCAGAACTAGCCCTAGATTACCTTAGGATCCTTACAGAGGGCTCTCTTGTAGTTGTACTTTTAATTAAACCTAACTGTAAGCTCTAGGCGACGCTTAACGAACGTGCTAGCCCAGTTCTTGCTAACAGGAGGCTAGTAGCGCTTAGTAAGTAGAGAGTTGGCCATATCCTCTACATCAGTAAGCCAGGGTGGGTATCCTTGCTTGTCTAGCTTTAGAACATGCTGCACAATTACCTCCTCTTTAGTGCTTATTAGCTTTATTAAGTTAACCTTATAATTGCGTCTTAAGAGCGTTCTAGCATGTTATTGTCTTAGTATTCTTTCTAACACCTTATAGATTATTATAGTGTAACGTACTCCACAAGCGAGCTGGCCACCCAAGCGAGCTGGCCACTTTTGCCAAGACCACACCAATACTGCACCTACTTTGCAACATTACAGCACACAACTATAATATATTATACTACACAGTATACTAAACTAGTCTGTAGTACTCTGTGTATCTTTACTGCATGTTCGCGCGTTGTGCCCTGTCTTGCTACATGTGCCACAGCGCCTTAGA